GGAGTCTCTCAGTAAGACTACATGCAGAGGGAGGTTCACAGAGCTTTCTCCAGCATCACTTCTATATTTAGACTCAGAGTTCTTTTGTTTAGTTTATCACTGTGTGGGTACAGATCATGTTAATGCCAAGTTACATGTGCATATGGGTAGGGGAGCATACACTCACCACTGGCTTTGTGTTCAGCTCCAGAGGCAAAAGCACAGATCTGAACGCTTACAGAAAAGGAAATCCTAGTTCTTAAAGTCACCTGGGGGAGACAGTGTTTGTAGTTCTATACAGTATCATTTGGCTCAGGAGCAATTCTACCTTCAAGTGATAATTTGAGGTGACGTTTCCAATGCTGTGGAAGAAAAATCGCTTTCCTGGGTAAAAAAAAGGGGAACGAATGCTTTTAAAAGATATATATAAATGTGTCATATCAGCATTAGTCAAATGAAATGAATGCTTCCAATATTTTTTAAAGCTTGCTCATATGAATCAACCATTTCTGAAATTGTAGTATATCAAGTAAGAGTATTATAGGTATATATTAGCAAACTGTCCGATGGCCGTTCTGATGTCTTATTACTCTATGCACTAGGGCAGCATCTTTAGGATAAAGTTAACCTTGGTGAAATGTATCAGGGTTCACTACTGTATCTTCAACTGGCTGATAGAAGGCCTTGCCCCCCTCAACATATGAATATTTAAATGACTGTTAATTATTAATAGTGTACTTTTATTAACACTGACTTACAGCATGGTCAAGCTGCAGAGAAAGCTCATTGCGCTTCGAGGTTGAGTGTGCGTCTCGAGCAACGTGAGTGCTGGTGCATGGAAGATAAGGTCCAGGGTTTTATCCTGTGGTGATTGCAGTGAGTCACTGGAATGAGGTCCTTGTTGACTGAGCTGTTTTGGAGAGAGTTTTTAATGCTTGGTGCAAGTTAAACTAAAGGTTAACTGTTTCTGATGGAAACATCTCGTGAAGTGCAGCGTCTCAGCGCATGGTTGGGGACAGTTAAAGAAAGAATAGCATGTGTATCGTGCCATTGAAGTCCCGAGTGGTGGCTCTTACCTGGGATGCTCTTCCACAACCTCAGGTTTTTCATGGAATTTAACCTGGGTTCTCCTGGTTTCATTTCATCTCTTTGTGCATGGTGTGCAAATGCGTTTCTCCGTCCTTGCTGATCAGATATAGTCTGTATTTGCCACTTTTCTTGCAAGCTCTTTAACCCCTTCCTGACCAAGCTGAGAGTGCTGGTCAGCATTTCCCATCGGTTATTTCAGCTGCTTCTTGGTTTTCTGTGGATCCTCTCTGAATTCCCTTTAGGTTGTTGTCAGTTCTGTGCTGAATATTGGCGATACAGACAATATAAATACCTGGATAGACGGGTGTATTGCTAAGGCAACATATTACACACAACCTAATGCAGTATTCCATATGAGCTAACAAGAAATCCCTATAAGGCTGGATTTAAATCTCTCTGGTCTGTAACACAAGGTGATGCTTCTGCATATGTTGACAAGATTTCATTAGCCTTTCCTGTAGCCCTATCTTCTTGCAAACCCATATCTAATCTTCAGTTTGCTGTCTCTGCGAGATCTCTTTCAGCACTGCAGCTTCTTTGGATCTCCTCTGTCTCTCACTGAGTGTCTGCATTGTGGATTATTTTCCCTGGAGGTATTAGTGTATATTTTTCCATACATGAAGATAATAAATGGAAGAAGCAGAGATGAAAAGAAAAACCATTACTTGAGAGCAGAAATAGAAAGAGATGCAAAGAAAAGACTGAAAGGGAGATAAGGGAAGAAAAATCAAGGAAGAAGAATATGGAAAAATGAAAAAGGAGTTAAATAATCAGAATACATTAATTAATCAAAGTGCAGATCATGTGGACTAGAATAGCAAAGCAGCAATGCAGAGAGCTAAAAGGAGACAGGGATAAGGATAATGAAGGATAAGTTGAAATGTAGTATGTGTTTTCAAAATAATGCATTTGAAAGTGCTATTTGACTTGTTAGACCTGACTTTTAGCAAGGCTGTCACATGCTGGGCACTGGAAAGCTCGTGACAAGGGGTTATGAGAAACACCAAATTTTTCCCTTAACAAAAGCAGTGATTTTTATGATGATCATGGTTTTGTTTGCAGTTCAGACCTCCCTCATTTCTACAGCAGTGACTCGGGGGGTTTATCCCTGTATCACAGCTGTGAAAATGAGATTTAGAAAGGGTAAGTGAACTGGCAAAGATTATAGGAGAAGTCATCGCAAAGAAACATGCGTTTCTAAGTGCCGGGGTCAATCCACTGTGCACAGGTTTCTGCAGTGCTCTGATTAGGTCAGTTCTCACACTTTCTTGCCATGTTATGGATGCTCTTTTCTCATAGGGGTTAACTATGATTTATTGACCTCTTCTTTCACCATCTTGTTTCAGGTACTTGGTCATACTGTGCCCACATCATCCCAAGTCATTGCCTAAATTAAAGGTAGTTGCTAGAAAAATGTTTGATTTGCTTTTCTTCTCCTGGTGTGCCATTGTAACCTCTTGGCATGTAAATTGGCCTCCTTCCAGAGATGGGGGTCACAAACCACTACTGGGAAAGCAGTGGGCTCAGTGCTGTTGTTAGGGGGAAAAGCAGCCTGGAGCAAGCCCTACCCAGTTCCTAGAAAAGACTGTAAGTTAGGGAGGGGAATTACACTATCAGCAAATGAGGGTGGCTGTCGGGGGGGAAAGTGCAGGGAAGGACTTAGTTCAGTAACCAAGTTGCCTGCATTCAAAGAGCTAATGTACCAGATATTACTGCTCAAGGCATTCTCACTATTGCCAGGGGCTTAATATGATTTGCATAGCGCGTATGGGTATTCCTAGGGGAGAATGTCAGAGATCATTAAATGAAAACAAATAATAAATAAGCTCCTTACAGCCCCCACAGGTACATAAATATGACTGTACGTGGGGCACACAGGCAAAGACAAATGGCTCAGTGTATATAGGGTGAGGAATCCATAAAGCAGAGAGGCTGCGTTTTCCCCTCTCTGGCCACAGACAATGCATTTGCTTACTGCTGAAAAGGGTCAAGTGACTGTCACAGACTTTGCACTGAAGAGATGTAACCTGTGTCACAGCTGCCAGCCATGCTGGCTTGAAAAGGTCAGCTCCCCAGACACAGGTGGGGATGTCACAAGTTAAAGACATGGGGATCTCTGTAGTGCATTGGGAACAGCAGCTGAGCAGCATCTAACCCCACCGCACCATCCACTTAGCATGGGGCTGGTGGGAATGGGGTGTGAGAACAAGCAGGCTTGTGGCTGTGGTGGAGCTGCATGGGTTTTCTTCATGAGGTTTTTAGGATCCCAGTCAGCAATGCTGTGTTGCATGGGAGGATCAAGGATACTTGGAGATTCCGTGGCTGTGGGTGTTGTGACTGTTTTCTTACTCCACATTTTTGGGCTTCTGTCCTTTGAACCAGACTAAAGCTTAGGAAATTCTTTAACTGTGACCCTTCCTGTGACTCAGATCACAAAGATTTTCTGTCACGTTGGTCAGGGCTAGATTTGAAATTATGTCTTAGAAGTGAAAGACACAGTGAATGAATCAAACAGATTAAGCTGAATTATTGGCTCTGATCGTGTAGTACGCTGTTTCCTACCAGAGATCACAAATAGATGTGAAAGCTGATTTGTCGTATCCCATCAAGCAGTTAAGTATTCCTTTAGTTATAAGCATTATAAACCAGCACCCAGTTTCAGGCTGTTATATTACACAGCAGGTCGTTCTGTAGCTCTCAGGAATTCAAGCCAACACCAAATCAGCTCTGTATCAGAATGATATACGTTCGCTGCTGTCTTTATTGTTTAGTTACATAAACATCTAAAAAACAGTGTTCAAAGAGAACATTTTTGTTGCTTTCCAAAGAGAAAGGATAAAGTTTATTCTTACTGACTTTCAGGAACTGAATTGGGTGGGAAATGGGGAGAAATCTGCAATGTCAGATAAAGTCTGAAAGATATTGAGCTTACTGATACAAAATGTAGTTGTGACACCCAGTGCGAACAGAGATCAGAAAGCATCTTTTCAGTGCACAGCATTATGATATGGCACCTCTTGGGGGTCTGTTTTATTGCGGTCTGTCTGTTCCAAATAAATGTGAATGAGTCATTCATACAAGAGTTTTAAAAGTAGTTTCACACTGACTTCTGCAGCCTTTAATAGTATTAATTTCTGGTTTTGATATAGCTGAACCTGCGACAGATTGCAATGCAGTGAGGAAAAGAGGCTCCTCAGAACCACGGAGTTCGAGTAAGTGGTGTTCAGCTGGCTCAGCATAGACCCTCGTGCATCTGTAATGGCAAGGATGCCTTACAGGTAGTTTTGTGTTGGGGAGGGGATGTTTTTGGTTCTAAAGTGCTGCAAATCTGACATCTAAAAAAAATGGACATTTAAGAAAGAACAAAAATGATCAGAGGGCTGGAGCAGCTCTGCTCTGGAGCCAGGCTGAGAGAGCTGGGCTGGGGCAGCCTGGAGAAGAGAAGGCTCCTGAAGGGGAGACCTGAGAGCAGTTCCAGTGCCTAAAGGGGCTACAAGAAACCTGGAGAGGGGCTTTTGACAGGGGCAGGTAGTGACAGGACAAGGGGGAATGGATTTAAACTAAAAGAGGGTAGATTCAGACTGGAAGCAAGGATAATATTTTTAGAAGTATCACATACTTTCTAAAAGGGCTTGAAATAAAACTGGAATCTGCTAAAAGACAGATGGAAGGCACAATATTGACCAAGTTGGGGCTTGTTCCTCTGTGATGACATTGAAGAACTCTCTGACATGTTTTGATTTCTTTCATATTTCTGATTCCTTACGGAGGCTTGAAAGGTTGAGGCCATTCAAAATGTTGAGGAAAGCTGTGAATGAAAGTTCATCGGAGCAGAGGCCGCCCTGCAGATGTGAACCAAGCATTAAGTGCAGTTGTCTGCAGAGCTTAATTGCCCCTGCAACTTTTTTTGCCTGTCTTCTCATTTTCCCTAGGTTGGCATTTTTGTGGCTGAATACCACTGGGAGTTAAGGACTTGCTGTGACTCTCACTCTTACTCTGAGGAGTTTTGCCTGCAGCAGTCACATAGTTGAAAAATACAGATCCATGTGACTGCTAAGAGACCACTGAGAAGCCAAGTAAGTAGGACTCATGGCCATTTTGCAATTCCACCTCATTAGACATGTTTTGGGGCTTATGATTGTGCTGTGAGGATAAATAAGTATAAATATTATATTTGCCTCCAGGTTATCTTTAAAAATGTATTTCTCTGTCTCCCTCCCCCTCTTTCTTTCCTTATTTCCCCCCCCCTTTTTTTTCCCTTCCCTCCCCTCCAATTTCCAGTGTAGTCTGTCAGCTCCTGGTAGGTGAGTTATCAACTCTGTGGTCTCACAGTATGGTGGCCCAGCATAAGGTATTACATTATAAAGGGTTGCCTTACGCTGCCAATTACCCAAGGTTCTGGAAAGCAAAATGTGCAGCAGTGTGATTAACTCCATGTGCAAGTTGCAGCTCACATCACCCCAAAACTGCTGTGAGGAAAAGCATTGCAAAAAGTATTGGACTTGTAGCTGATGCTGCCTTTTCTAGTGAGAAGAAAGTGGCAATGGCTGTCTTTGATCATTTGAACAACTCTTGTGAATTACCTTTGAGATAGAGGGGAACCAGACACCGTGGAAAACTTGGGTAAATACATACCTAAACTCATACTGTTGCCCAGATGTTGGTCGTAAACACACCAAGGGCAAGTTCTCTTTGTTGAGCGCACTGATGCAGTTCACTCCCTGCTGCAGACCTGGGTATCTCCCAACAGAGTCCATGGAATTGTGCCAGTTCACACCAAATGATTTTCTCTTTTACCTCAATTCGTAATCTGTGTGTTCTCAAAAATGAGTGGACCAATTCCTGCAGGAAAGGGATTGCACCAGGTTGAGCAGCATCTAGGGGAAGCAGTGTTTCTGTGGTTACTGCAGTCTTTCTTGTGTGTATGTTATTAGTCTCTGTTACTCAAATTCACTGTAGTTAACACAGGTTTGGTGCAGTGTAAATGTTATCACAGTCAGCTCCAGTGGTCCCTGTTTCTTTTTCTACCCATCTGGGAGTTTGGAAGTCATTTGACTTCTTTGCTTCAATTTAGCTTCATCTAAAATGGCATTTTAAATGATGATCTACCTTTCAGTATCCAGCCCTCTTAATGACTCCATCATGAATGGTGCTGTAGGAATTCATAGACCCTCAGTGTAACAGATGTTGTCTGTGTATGGGAAAGCCTGATACTAGTGAGTTGGTCTTTTGAGGCAGCCACTATATGATGCAACAAGAACAGTTCCTTTAAAGGAGAAATCAACACCAGGGTTTGTATAACTTACATGCTTATTTTGGCTCCCTGATGTTTCTAGGAGGTGATGCCAGGAAATGCTGTTGCCTTTCCATATTCAAAAGAATAGTGTTTGGGGCTTGTGCAGTTCTAGAATTTGGGGCTGAATTACCACGAGGTGGCAGTGTGCAAGGCCCAAAGTACATCTTGGTTATACCGCTTCCCTTTGACTTCCTTCTCAGAGCAGGTAACAGTTAGAGTAGAGGATCATTGTAGGCTCTTTCCAACTGGAACTATTCTGCGTTTTCCAGTAACTATTGATGTTAAAAGTTCATGCATAGATCTTGAAGGATTTCTGGTTTTACAAAGGATACGTTATACTGTTGTGCACTGGTAGTCAGTACATGCCCAAGTCAATACATGAAGCAAGTCTGCATGCTGCTTGTGAGAAGACTGTGATCCTTTACTTAAGGAACAGAAAAGGGCTTTAGAAACAGTGACCGTACTGTTCTCCATTTCTTCTTATACTATCCCTTCACAAAGTAAAACACAGTGCAAAGAGTTTCTGCTGTCTTAAATGGAGTAGGTTATTCCCCTGTCCATGTGTGTGAACACACAATTGAACAAAGAGACACAAGGCATCCAGCTGTAAGAAACTGTGCTTGTGTTTGTTTCTAAACCATTTTCACTGGGACCATCAAAAAAGCATTTAGTAATATTTAGGAAAGCCATATGCATCTCTGGGAGGGACAGTTAGTGGGTACCAGGAGCCAGGACCGCCAACTGATGACCAGCTTTGCTAGTAAGAGTTGCTTTTTGTTTTCCTCTCTCCATAAGTGTTTATTCCTTTGAATAGCTGTACAATGTCAGTAGGAAAAATGGCATCAAAAGCAGTGGCTTAATCTCCATGTAACTCTCATGGACAGTGTGAATTCATAAATGCTCTCCAAGGTTAATCAAAACACAGTATGCTGGGAAGACATTACTGTGGCTGCAAAACTTGTGTGAAATAATTCTTTATGGCAAGAATTCGGTGTCTGCATGCTCAGTCAGTAAAGCTCTAACTGTGAACAGAGATGAATCCTGCAGTTCCTCATGAGCAGATACTATCCAGAAGGCTTCACATGTCTCTTTTTTCAGTAGTGTACAAAAAATCTCTATACATAATGTCCATAGAAAAGACACTGGATATAACCCCTGGCAAGGAATAAGTTACTTTCAGTAGCAGTGCTCTTTAGCTAGAAGCCATATACAGATGAGGTTGATGCTTGGTCCTGTGGGAGTATAATCATATTCTGTCCCTGGTCAAACTAGGCCTTGGTCTTCTAATCACAAAAAGCTTCCTCACAGTTGTGGCAATGCTTTTGACTCGGTGAGGGACCCTCAAGGTGAATAAAACTGAGATGCAGCTTGTAGCATGTCCGCAGTGAGCTTTCACAAGTGGTCTGGGCTTTAACTGTAGGATCCTTTGGTTGGTTGGGTTGGGGTTTTTTCCTGTTTGTTTGTGTTCAAGGTCTAGTTTCAGGTTTTAAAGCCTCTAAAAACATTAGCGTCTTTTTAGGTCCTCATAGTGAAATAGGTGATGTCAGGCTGTTTGGATAATGCAAGTGACAGTGTTTTGGGGAGCTCTGTGGCATTGCACTCTAATACATTTGCATTTATCGTTTCCTGTTACTTCAAATAATTGTCTCTAGGAAGTCAGAGAACCTGCCCTCGGAGCTTATTTGACTGAATCTAAGTCTTGCAAAAGAAGCTCTTTGGCTGTTTGTGGATGGTGGCTCTTCAAGTAGTGCTGTTGAAGAGACAAAACCTCATGTAAGCATCTGAGTGTTGCCTTATTTGTAAAAAGCTTTTCATGGTAGAAACAAGCAGTGGAGGATACTAAAAGATTCAGTGAAACGTATTAAGCTATCAATAGCTGATTCTGAGCCCTTTCCATTCCTGACAAACAAATGACATGCTCCAAACTTCACATCTTCTCCCTGCTGCAGATAAAGGCACAAACTGGTTTCTTTCCCTTTCCTGCACAAGCACAGAAGAATTCTGCAAACAATTAAAATTGCAGATTGTTTGCTCAAGATCACATTTATTCAAAGGGTGCCTGCTCTTTGGGGACGGGAAGAAGTTGGGTTTGAGATGCAGTTTGAACAAGGTAAGCATTTTTTCCGATGATTCCCAGCATAATTTACCAAAGGGAATACAGTGCATTTGTTAGTTCCTTTAAAAAAAAAAATAATCAATGACCTGAAACATTCCCTCCAGACCTATAATATTTATTTCAATGTTCTGTCAATAAATATAACAAGGTTAGTTTTCTATCAGATTACTTGGAAGAATCATTTGAGGGAAGTTCTATTTGGTAAGCTCAATTGCAAGAAGCAATCAATAGGAAAAAATCCTCTTGTTGGTACTGGAAGAAACCTAGAGCTCTGAGGAGCTGGGGCAGATCAGGTATTTATGTCTCTGCCCTAGCATCCGAAGGCCAGTTTGCTTCCAAATGCCAAAGGAGGGGAAGTCTGAGACAATGTTTGAAGGACTAGTGTAGCATGCTGAATACTGCTGTGCTAAGAGGAAATCCCTGTTGACTGCTTTTGTGCATCAACCAGACCATCATTCCCCTGTGTTTCAGAGCATGTGTAAAATCTTGACATAGCAGTTCTCAGTTTCTGTGGTCCTCTCTAGAACGTTTTTATCGAGTAGTGCAAAACTCATCCTGTACTTTCACCATCTATTTGTAACATTGGAGAAGAGAGCCAGGCTTTCTGCCCTGCTCAATAATCTTTCCTTGACATTACCAACTCCTGTTGAATGTGCCAGAGGCAACATCCTCACCGAGTGCTGTGCTGCAAGCTTGCTTCTACTGATACAAGGAGGAGACAGTGTGGAGGTACGACAGCACAATACACATGTGAAAGGGCTCTTGTGACTTCATTTGGCCCAGAAATGGGGAGATTTCTCAGCTGGCATGCAGACTGGAGACAGTAAAGCCAGAATGGAAAGAAACACAAAATGGTTTAAAGTGAAAATGAGAAACAAAGCTGTGAGGATTCTACGTCCAATCATCCTACTGTAATGTACTCGAATTCTAAATCCCATGTTTCTATTAAATGTATTTTCAGCTCAAATAGTTTGGGGGACAAAGAAAGATCCATGTAACATAATTTCCCATATGAAAATGACCTCTCCATTACTATCACTGATATCTGTGTATTCTACAGTATCTGTGATAAGTTTTTGTTACAGGCATAACTACAAGCTGCATGCTTCCAACCTGTCTCTGTTATGTTTTACAGTCCAGCTTTTGCTGGGAGCCTGCCTTCTGTACAGTTTGTTTTTACAGCACTCTGAGGAATACAGGGAAGGTACCTGGCTTCTTGCAAATGGAAGTAGTGGGGTTAAAGCCCCATAGATGTGTGGGAAAAATCCACTAAACCCCCTTTGAATTATGAACTATTTTGTCAACCAGGTTAAGACAAATGTCCCACATGGAATGGTGGTGGCTAAAAACCAGTCATTCCTGCAATGCAATACTGATGCCATGTGAAAGAAGAAAAAAGGGGAAAAAATGACTACTGCTGAGCTAAACGTTTTAATTACCTGGTGTCACAGTTCTGGAGTCTCTTGACATGAGTGTGTTTCTGCTTATTTCAGCCTTTGTTCCAGTCATCCCAGATGCTTGTTTTAAGCTAATTTCTTGATTTCTACTGCAAAAATCACAGTGCATGCATGCATTAAACATGTGCTGCTGCAGTATTAAGGTGTTTCTAAAGGAGCTTTGCTTGTACTGAAGTGGTCACCAACCTGTTCACCTGTGTGCAACAA